CTTCAGCTGACCAATCAGCAGAAAGGGGCGTTTAATTCCCGCCCACATGTAGAAATCGAATATTCAAGCGGTTTATTCATTTTTCCACCCCTGAACGAAAAACGAAAATTTAAGCTGAATTCTCGTTTTTCGAAAAAAAAAAAAAAAAACGAAAAGGAGCCGTTTTCTCATTTTTCTACTTTCAATATTAAATAAAAAAACGAATGATCGAATGATACATGGATTCGACAGGCCTTCGAATTAAATAAGTTGCTTTTTAGTTTTTCAGGTAGGTCTAACAGTAGGGTTAAGGGCTATTGCAGACAGAAAAAATACTGTACTACATCGATGTTTCCTGTCGGCTCAATTTTTGAGTGGACTTTGCTGTTCCGATTCGCATGAACGGTATATGAGTGGAGTGACTGAGCGGAGCGCACACGCATAGAGCGGAATAATACGCAGAGCGTCACACCACGTGAAAGTGAAACCTGAGTGGTGAACTAATTTTCGGCAGCCGAAATTTCGGTGCATCTCTAATTATTGGCGACATCAGAAATGGATATTATATAATAGATGCTCTTTTGAACATTTTAGCAATTTAAAAATATTAAAAAAGGATTTTTTACACGGCACCCCTGCTCTCGACAGAAGGCACCCCGGTTGGGAAACACTGCTCTAAATCACACCATTATCGAGAGTACCACAACACATGCGCATTTCTGTTCTACGTCTGCAGCATCACGCGCATGCATTATTTACATGCTTAATTAAGTGCTCTCAATAATGGCGGAAGACGTGATTTGGAAGAGAAGAATTGTTGAATAAAGTTGTTATTTTTGTTTTCTTTGCGCACAAAAAGTATTCTCACAGTTTCGTAAAATTACGGTTGAACCACTGATGTCACATGGACTGTTTTACCAATGTCCTCCTTACTACGTTTGCGGGCCTGGGAACATTGTTACGTTGCTGTCCATGCAGAGTCAGAGAGCTCTCGGATTTCATCAAAAATATCTTAATTTGTGTTTCGAAGAGGAACGAAGATCTTACGGGTTTGTAACGACTTGAGGGAGAGTAATTAATGACAGAATTTTGATTTTTGGATGAACTATCCCTTTAATGAGATTATTTAGAATTTGGATCTCAGTAGGTGATGCTGTGACATCTCTCCACAGGTGAGTGATGGCAGCCTGACGATTGTTTCCATCAGCCGTGAGGACAGGGGAGCGTACACATGCCGAGCGTACAGCGAGCAGGGAGAGGCCGTCCATACCACACGCCTACTCGTCCAAGGTAACACAATAACTACCCTAAACTGTTTCTACAGGACTTTATTGTTTGCTATTAACTGAATGACATCACTGTCATGTTGTTGAAGTGGTGTGTTTGAACAGTCCTCTGTGTGTTTGTGTCTATGTATGTGTGTACAGTCATGCTTGCAAAGCATGCTGTAGAGCTACAGAGATAATTGGATTCCATATGTTGGCTGTCTGGTACAGTATAAAGCAGTAATGGGTTCACTGTCAGAGAGATTTTTCACCATAGTGCTGCCAAAGAAGCTTTTTCCTGTTGGGATACCTAATCTGTTCTGCATCTGCTGCTTTTAGCATGCCATGTTAGCATGTAACCCAATAACATAATGGATGTATAACTTATATTGTCTATTTGTTAACATTTTTTGTGTGTTAATTTTAAAAAAAATGTAACCAAAGCTCAGCTCCGTGGCTGTGGCCTACCCATAATCATAAATATACTTTACTTGGAGAGATTTTTCTACAAATATAAGAGTTGTCAAAAGATTATAATTAGATTTCAGTGCAGTAGTGTTCTTTATTCACCTTTTTCACACTTCTAGACAACAATAAAGCACTCCTTCCTATTTTTGTCCCATCAAATCAGTATCAAACTCAGTGCAGTCATAAAATGACATTCCTTTTTTTCTAAAACCGCTTCTTTTGAATTTCTTTTTCACCCACTGTATTAAATGGTTTAAAAGTGAATCATTGTAATAGTAGCCATTTAATTCTAACTATAATGCTAAATTATATCCTGTATAATAACACAATCAACACTGATTTGGTGTTGATGAAGGGTATGGAAGCCTGTTTCTGCCACAGTTAAGTAAAAACATAATAATAATTCTATAATTCATGATAATGAGAAACATTCTCATAATAATGACTTACTAAATAAAGAGAAACTTTCTGGTTATAATGACTTAACTCATAGTAATAATAATAGACATTAATCATGAGAAAGTTCCCATTATTATGAGATATTAAACATTAATTATAAGTTTCCAATTATTATTATGATACTATGCCTTAATCATGAGAAAGTTTATCATTATTTTGAGATACTAAGCATTAATTATGATAAAAAATTCTCATTATTATGAGGTACGTTGTAAATAAACATTAATTATAAGAAAGTTTCTCTTTATTATGAGATACTATGCATTAATCATGATAAAGATTCTTATTATTTTGAGATACACTGCATTATATAAATGAGACTTTCGTCTATGAGCGTAACACCTTTGGTCACTTCACGTTGATCATATGGTATGTTCCCGTTTGAGTAGGTGGTTCTTTACCAGAATAAGAATTGTCGACCAGACCGAGAATGACCGGAAACTCTAGGGAACATAAATGAGTGAGAGAATTTCCATTTTTAATGAAAAAAAAGTTTTCTGTTAGCTTAAATAAAAATCAACTGCTGAGACATAAAAGTGCCAAGTTGCAGAAACACGATTTTGTAGACACGTTGGCTGTCTAGCGAGTTTGTTTTTGTACTGTAATGTGTGTGTGTGCTGTCGAGCAGGACGGAGAGCATCTGTAGAGTCCGTGCCTGCACGGGGAGCTCTCTGCAGGCTTTCTCCACAGAAGAGCCCTCTCTTTACACTGGCACTGCCAACTGAAGCGATGCCCACAGTGGGCGGTAGAGTGAGATCTGTGGGTAGGCTGCTGGGTAGAGTTCTTATCATCTTGGCCAATGATATTCAGATGAGATGGCTGATCCAAATATGTATGGTACAGCTGAGTGGTACCTTAAACCTATATTAACTCATTCAGTATGATATCATTCGGTATTCAGTATGTACACCACTGTAAATGAGGTATTGATCTGTTGAAAAGACTTTTATTAAATCTTTTCTCCAATATTGTTGTTTTTAACCTTGAAGAGGACTGAGATTGCTATATGCCGCAATAGAATGTGACACATCCTGATATGTAATGCTGATTTATTATGTGTCTCTTTTTTATTTCAGGACCCCCGTTTATTGTCTCACCGCCAGAGAACATAACCGTAAACATATCCCAGGATGCATTCTTCACTTGTCAGGCTGAGGCGTATCCTGGCAACCTAACGTACACCTGGTTCTGGGAGGAAGATAACGTCTTCTTCAAGAAGTAAAGTTATGATCGGGTTCATTACTGTACCATACCCCCACTGTCCTGTGTCCATGTGGAGTTTGTCACAGTCCATGTAGTTTCGTCATCATCATTGAGGCATCAGTGAGTTTTAGGGACTATGGCCATTGTGATACTGTTTTAGGCTTTGGTTAAACATCTTTTAAACCTATGTGTTGTGACATTTTCGTAGAAAACTGAAGGTGCACAAAATGCAACTAAATATGCCACCACTACTGATATTCTGTACACTACCGTTCAATAGTTTGGCGTCAGTTAGATTTTTTATTTTTTATAGATATTTTGTTAGATATTTTATAGATAATATAATAATACAAAAAAGGTAAATGTTGTTCTTTTGAAAGAATCCTGAAAAAAATTGTATCACGGTTTACACAGAAATGTTAAGCAGCACTGTTTGCATCTTGTAATTCTAACTTTTTGAAATTCTGAGCTTATATCTCACAATTCTTTTTTTTGTTTTGTTTCCACCACAGAATAAAGAAATAAAAAAGGTATTGGTGAGAATTGTGAGATATAAACCCAGAACTGCAATAAAAAACATAATTGTATATTTTTTATATACTTTTTTATATATATTTTTAAATTCCGTGACAGAAATAAGCTTCCTTAGAAAACAGCTCTTTTAAATTCTAAAACCAGGGCTGAATGTATTTGATCAAACATCTTACTGACCCCAAATATTTGAATGGTAGTGTTCATCTATTGATAAACAGATGCATTTTAATTTAAATGTATTTTTAATGAGTTGTCAGTCAAAAAAAGATTCAATAGTGCCAAGCTCCGCTCCCCTACAATTGCAAATAGAATTGCCAAAAAAAAGCTGAAATTTTACCTGGGAAATTTGGTTTTGTGAAGTTTTAACAGAAAAAAAATTGTTTCAATGAAAATTCACTATAACAGTTTACTATGTGTTTATCACTTGTGTTTACATTGTGTGCATGTGTGAGTGTCATTACACTTGTTTGGAGGTTCACACACCTCAGATACTGTCTCATTTGTGTCTCATTTGCCCTGTGTGAACGTTCTGATGGACTGAAATACTTTGATGCCTTATAAGTGACTAAATGGGAATGTTAGAAAGCAACTCCTCACCTGAAGACCAATTGATTTCATTTGACTTTAGCAATAGCATGATAGTCTAGTACAGGGTTGTCCAAACTCGGTCCTGGAGGGCCGGTGTCCTGCAGAGTTTAGCTCCAACCCTAATTAAACACACCTGAACCAGCTAATCAAGCTCTAACTAGGCATAGAAACTTCCAGTCAGGTGTGTTGAGGCAAGTTGGAGCTAAACTCTGCAGGACACTGGCCCTCCAGGACCGACTTTGGACATCCCTGGTCTAGTAAGCATAAAAACACAGAGCGCACAAAAATATGACATAAAACAGTGTGTCCTTTATAGTAACCTTGAATAGGAAAGGGCACAAAATGTGTGCCCACTATCATCACGATAAACGACAAACGCAGCTTCACTATAGACCCTCTCAGGTTCTCATGGTTTACGCTTCTCCTTCTCTCCCCCATGAAAAGAATATCTAGCGACATGGTGCTTGTGTCATCATACGCTCCACTAGCACTGATTAGAAGTAGTAGTGCCCTAAGCCATCCAAGACGCCCTCATGCGTGGCCTGTACACTGTGTAGAAAAGAGGCTCTGTGCAGCAGGACAGATGGAAGCACAGGCAAGAATAGAAGCCACACAGACATTTTGTCCACTGGAGCGTTTTTTTTTTCTCTGGTCTCTGCCTCGGACATTCCATCTGTTCTTGTTGAAAGAGTAGACTGTAATTCAGAAGGCTTTGAATAGTGCTTTATTCTCTGGCTTTAAATTAGTTTACGTAGGGCATACATATTTATAGGGATAGCTTTGAAAAAAAAATGTCAGTATTTACAAACTTTCATGTCGTTTCAGTAAGTGGAACATTAAAAAATTTTGTTCACTGCCATTCAAAGGTTTGGGGTTGGTAAGATTATTTTTAATGTATTACTGTAGATGTCTCTTATGCTCACCAAGGTTGTGTTTTATTTTATGTAAAATAACAAACATTGGAAAGTTGGAAATTTCAACAGCATTTAATTAAAATTTTATACAATTATAAATCTCTTTACTGTAATTTTTCATCAATTTAATGTGTCCTTGCTGAATAAAAGTATTAATTTCTTAAAAAAAAAAATATTTTGAACGGTTGTGTATGTTGTAGTGTAGACTGTTGGAATAGTATTGAATCAAGTATTGAATCATCAATACTATTGATGCTAATTCTTTGTCAATCTTTCTTTCTCTCTCTCCAGTGATCTAAAGCGCAGAGTGAGTATTCTGATCGACGGTTCGCTCATCATCTCCCAGGTGAAACCTGAGGATGCTGGGAAATACACCTGCAGCCCGAGTAACAGCCTTGGGCGCCCACCTTCTGCATCAGCGTACCTGACAGTGCATTGTGAGTCAGTCTGCTGATACACAACTAGAGACACTAAATCTTTGTCTTTCATCTGAAAACATTTGTCCTTTTCTGATGCCCCTAACTGCATTGCACAGTGCAGATGCTGAACTACAGCTGCAGTATGTAGGCGAGAAACCACCAGAATAGAATCCATTTGGTATTTTTACTTCTTTTCAAAGTATCCTGCTGATCATACAGTGGAGCTGAAAAATCCGAAAAGCATACTGATGATCAAGTATGTTATCCAGCATGATTTAAGATAGATCCAAAACATCTTGTGCTTATAAAACTAAGAACATCTGACCTTTTATGCACATAGTCAGTGTCACAAATGTGCTTATATTTGATTAGTGACCTGGTAATCATAATGAAGTTATCTTCCAAATTGTTATAAATAAATAATTGAATCAATAAACCAATAAATAAATAAATTGTTAAATTAAAGAATAAAGTAATCATTATGTCATACATTTTCCACCAATTTGTTGTGAATTAATGAATAAATGTAAAAAATAATTCTAATAAATTGATGAAAAAATAAATAATTGAACAAATAAATAAATAATTAAATTAAACAATAATTTAACGATAATATACATTTTCTTCCAGTTTGTTATAAATTAAATAAATGCATACATTTACATACATTACAAATTAGACTTTTTATTCCCAGATTTTCAGTCTGGTCTCAGATGTTTAAAACCAATGCAAATACAGTGGTATATAGTAAGACTTCCTGATATACACTGCCGTTCAAAAGTTTGGGATCGGTAAGATTTTTAATGTTTTTTAAAGAAGTTTCTTATGCTCACCAAGGCTGTTTTTTTCTGTATTTTAATCAAATAAATACAGCCTTGATGAACATAAGAGACTCCATTAAAAAAACATTAAAAATCTTTCTGATCCCAAACTTTTGAATGGCAGTGTAAGTGATTTCCTGAACTTACACTGAATGGCCTGTATTACTTTTGATACAATGACAACCTTTCACTGTAACAAATTATTTTTAAATGAAGCAGTAATTCCCAATTATATTACGTAATATCATACAGTACATGACATAATAGAGGAGGAATTCTCCTTCATCCTGAATCTGTGACATTGGTCTCCCTGGATTGAGTGTGAAAATTAAGTAACAACCTTCACCAGCAGATTCTGCCTTTTCATCACTTTTTCACATTGAGATCATACATGCAGAATAACGGTGGCATAACAGTGCTCTTTTGTAATTGATGAAAGGGTTACTTTAGTCTCCCGGCATATTCCGTCTCAATACATGGGCACGAGGGCGTATTAGCTTCAACTAGCGCTGTTGGGCAGGCTGACGCTTTCTATTTGCAGCTGAGAGATTGGAATGGCCTTCTGTCCCCGGAGTCTGGAGCTGAATTGAAACAGTGACCTTGAGTCAGTAAGCTAGCAAATCACTCAGTCACAGCTCACATCCTCCACGCCAATAGACTGATGCAAAGAACATGGGTTTTCTATACGTTGTTAAAAAAACACCAGCAAAACCCAAACATGTTGCATTTGCAGTAAATGGTGACAGGAATGAATGCTGCAGAAGTGGCTGTGGTATCCAAGGCAACAGACATCTCAGATTCCCTCGCTCGGAGGAAGCCTGTGTCGGACCAGCTTGGCTCGGTTGAAGTGGTGGAAAGGGATTACATCATAGCAGAATTCCCAGACTGCAGGAATTTTCACCTGTCCTCTGAAACAGTCTCACGTAGTCTGGCCGCCCATGTGTGTAGCGAGCAGAGGCGCAGAGAAAGTGTATTTGACAGTAAGTGAGAAAAAAGGAGGGGGGATGTAAAAGGATGACATCATCCTGTGTAGAAACCCTCTTCTCTGCAGTGACATCACCTGCAGACACTCAGGCTGGAAGCGTGGGCGATGGCGGCCCCGTTGGATGGCTGACGGCATTGCAGGTCTGCTCCGTGCATCAAGATTGCCTAATTTTTCTTCCTTTTCGTTAGCAGTCCTGTGCTTCGTCCTCACGACTGGCTTTTCTTCTGTTCTTTTCTCCACTCTGGTCCACTCCCCCCATCGTCCCGTCCCTCAGCTCCACTTGTGCTAAAAATAGACCCTGGCACTTTGCTAAGCGTTAAGATGGAGCAGTGTATTTCTTCAAAGTGTTCGTTTCGGAGCGCCGCTCCCTCTCGTTCTCCAGCATGCTGCGGTTGGCTGGTGTCTTCACTAATGAGAGACTGTGATTTATGAGTCACACGCAACTGAATCTCTTTTACAGCATTATTGATAGTCTTCACTTTAGATGTTGTTTATACAATATAAAGAATGGAAAAGTTATCAGAAATAATACTGTTATTTATGCTTTGTGGCACAAAGGAATTAAAGGGATAGTTCACACTAAATTAGTTACTCACCCTCATGTCGTCCCAAACCTGTAAGAACTTTGTTCATCTTCAGAACACAAATTAAGATATTTTTGATGAAATCCGAGAGCTTTCTGACCCTTCATAGACAGCAACACAACTGATACGTTCAAGGCCCAGAAAGGTAGTAAGGATATATCGTTAAAATAGTCCAAGCTAGCAGAGTACTTTTTGTGCACAAAGATAACAACTTTATTCAACAATTTCTTCACTTCCGTGTCAGTCTTCGCTGCGCGTTCATGACAGTACCACGACGCATGCGTGTGCATTCCTCTGCTTGTAATCAAGGCGCAGTGAATGCATCGTGGTACTCTTGTGAATGCTCGTCGAAGACTGACACAGAAGAGAAGAAATTGTTGAATAAAGTCATTATTTTGTTTTCTTTGCACAGAAAGTATTCCTGTTCCTTCTTAATATTATGGTTGAACCACTTATGTCACATGAACCATTTTAATGATGTCCTTACTACCTTTCTGGGCCTTGAAGGTGTCAGTTACATTGCACTCTAAGCAGGGTCAGAAAGCTCTCTGATTTCATCAGAATATCTTAATTTGTGTTCTGAAGATGAATGAAGGTCTTACAGGTTTGGAACGACATGAGGGTGAGTAATTAATGACAGAATTTTCATTTTTGGGTGAACTATACCTTTAATAGTAGCATTTCAAAACATTTGGTTGGTTTTAGAAGATACCATATATGTTTCCTTCATTGCCTGTGATATTGCACAATTCTGGACATGCATTTGATTGACCAAATAATGTGTTTGTTATGTATGGTGTGTTTATTTGTTATATTTATGTATTAATTTCTCATTCAAAAGTTTGGGGTTGGTTATTAGCTTGTGCTCACCAAGACTGCATTTATTTGATCAAAAGTACAGTTAAAAGTAATATTATGAAATATTATTAACATTATTATTATTGCTCTCTCAATTAAAATCAGCCCACAACACCTTACCATTGTCTTTTTAACTGCCTATGTTGTGGAGAGTTTTGCATGGGCAAACATAACTCACATTTTCTGTAGAAAATATAAAAATTTAGTTTGAAAATGTAGTTGTGTTTCCAAGGCACTTACCGTGCTGTACTACGATTAGCTGAGTAATAGTCTCAATGTGAGCTTGTTCAGACCTTTTTGTCTGATTTCAGACTCTCTCTTCTGTGATGTGAGAGCAAAAAGTTCTTTATTAGTGTACTTCTCCATCAGTAGTTGACTCATTCAGAGGATTTGTGCTAAATGTTCCAGACTAATGACTCGGAGAGACATCCGGAACTAACTCCTCTCATCTGTCTGACAGTTTAACAATGCACAAAACCGTGCATGTCTAAAATATCAGATATCTAACATCTCAACATTTATGCTGTATTTTTTGTTTCTACTCTTGTTGTGTTCCATAGACCCTGCCCGTGTGGTAAACATGCCGCCCGTTATTTACGTGGCCATCGGACTGCCGGGGTACATCCGCTGCCCGGTGGATGCCAACCCGCCTGTCACTTCAGTGAAGTGGAAAAAAGACGGCCTGCCTCTGCGGATAGAGAAGGTGAGTCCAGCTGGACAATGATCTCAGTGTTTTCACAGATGCTGTCACATGGGCCTGTGTGAGACAAAGACAAAGATCACTGGCTCCTCTTCAACTATAAAGCCGATTTATGAAGAATCATGTGACTGAAATATATTAAAATATATTAAAATAGAAAAGTAATTAATTAAATTATAATAGTATTTTTAAATAAAAATGTAGTTGTTGTGGGCAAAAGACTTAAAAAAACAAACATCTTACTTACCACAAACTTTTACATGGTAGTGTACAAAATAATTCGTTCAATTCGTTCAGTAGAGAATCAATTTCTCTCTGTTTCAGTACCCTGGCTGGAGCCAAATGGAAGATGGGAGCATTCGAGTGTCTGAGGTGACAGAGGACTCTCTCGGCACCTACACCTGCGTGCCTTACAATAGCCTCGGTACAATGGGACAGTCCCCTCCCGCCCCTCTGGTGCTAAAGGTAAAGAATGAAACTTGTAGGTTTTATTCATTCTTCCTTTTCCTTATTTACCTTTTTGATAATATCTTCTATTTGCATCAATATAACGTGGTGTTTGGCGTTGGATAGGACCCACCCAAATTTCTGGTGGTTCCTGGAGGGGAGTACAGACAGGAGGCTGGTCGAGAGCTGGTCATCCCCTGTGAGGCAGAAGGAGACCCATTCCCCAACATTACATGGAGAAAGGTAACCTGTATCCTTAAGAATCCTTAAGTAGGAATTCTGTATCATTGTCAACCCAACTGAAGTGTTTGCTAGAACTGTTTTCTTTTATTGGAGAAGGTAGGGAAGCCCAGCAGAAGCAAGCACAATGTCCAACCGAGAGGCAGCTTACAGTTCAAATCTCTCAGCAAGGAGGACCACGGGGAGTGGGAGTGTGTCGCCTCCAATGTCGTCACGAGCATCACTGCCAGCACGCACCTCCTAGTAATCGGTAGGAGGCGTTGAGACAAATGGCGCTACTTCATGATGCACAAACACGACTTGCGATAAAGTGGTTTTTCCATACAGCGATGAATTTTGATCATATTAGATTAAAGAGTGTTATTTTCGTTGAAAGTGCACAAAAATATTAGTTTATATTTTGCAGGACAACAGTGGTCTTTGTCTCAGGGTTCTAGGAGTAACCCTAACATATCAGGGAATTTTTTTAAAGTCATGGAAATTACTATATTGAGTATATATTTTTCTAGTTCTACTCTGATGTAAAATACTTTTTGGCTAATTATTATTTCTGTGCTCCAGTGTTATTTTAGTATATTAGTATATATTTGTTAGTTTTTTTAATATTATTATAAATATTTTGAATTACCTGTTATTTTTTTATATTTTCAGTAAATTTTTTAGCATGAGTTTTAGTAATTTGGTTATGTACTTATGTCATTTTTATTATTTTTAAAACATTTTCTATTTAATTTAAAAAAAATTGTTACTTTTTTTCAGTTAGTTGCCAAGGCAGCTTTTCTGATTTTCAGGTTTTTTTAGATGTAGTTTTTATGTAGTATTTTATAAATACTAAGAATTTATTTTATTTTTCAGCTTTATTTCAATTATTGTGTTTTTATATATATAGTTTTAGTTTTAACAGTAACTGCTCTTCACAAAAATTTTGTTGAGCAAATTATTCTTTCAAGGACTTTTGTTTCAGTGAGTTCATCTAACAGGTTCACAAATCAGCCTGAATGACTCGGTTCTAAATTGCGGTGACCGGGAGGTGACATGTTCGGTTCACTTAGTTTTGTGGTGGCCACGCCATAATAACTCGTGGGAACGTGACGTTGAGGGAACAACATATTTTTCTCGTGGCCACGAGTTTAATGCGTAAACAAACCTGCGTGACCATAGCAACTCGGGATTATCAAAAATGGATAAAACATAAAAATATAACTAATAATATACAAATATTATGGGGAAAAGACCCATATCAGTTAATAGAATTAAAATACTGTAGGATGGATAAAAATATTTTCTTGTAGGCCTATTTTATATTATGCACTTTATGTAACATTTATTCATGATAAAATTCATTTGAATGCTGACTATCGCATGTAATACAGTCCGGTAGCCAAGGCCTATGGTTAATATAATAATTTAATAATGTAATAATTTCTATAATCAATAATATAATAATTTCTTAATTAATCATATCCCTCAACATAGCATCTCGAGGCCACAACATAATATCACGTTCCCACAAGTTAATATGACGTTCCCACAAATGAATATCTCGTGGCCACGACATAATATCACGTTCCCACAAGTTAATATGACGTTCCCACAAATTAATATGTCGTGGCCACGACATATTATCACGTTCCCACGAGTTATTATGTCGTGGCCACGACAAAACTAAGTGAACCGAACACGTCACCTCCCGGTCACCGTACTAAATTGTCTAAATCAAAAACATTAAAAGAAATCTTTATCCAGTATATCAAACAAAAAGGAAAAATCATCGGTTGAAAACTGTGGGTACCATGTAGACTTTATAATGATATCTGTCAGTTAATGTTTTACCCTATTCACAGACTAGGTATTTCTCATTTATGATTAAAGAGTATTTCTCATTTATGATTAAAGTATTGTGAAAAAATTAAGAAAATTAAGCAGGTTTTCTGAGAAAAAGTTAGTTGTGATCTCCCTAATCATCTAATCAAGTACTGTATATTAATGAAGCTCTTTCTAGGGTACTGATTTGACTGGTGTCTTCATTTCATGTTGTCACTTTAATACCACATACTTGCCAAAAGTATCGATTTTTGTGTAAAGATTACTTGCTTCAATACTTTGAAGTATATTCATATGCAGACTTACACTCTTATAGGATATAGCTTATAAATTCAAAAGAGGAAAGTAGTGCAAATGCTAACGTCCTGTCTCTTTCTATTAGTGGCTAGTGCAGCTGTAAACAAACACTGCCAGCTTAGTCCTTATATTGCTGCCCGCTTGTATTGGCATGCACGCCGTGCTATTGGGCACTGTTTGTATTTGTTTGACTGCAGTGAAACTGCAGAATAACTGACCTTAGTTAAAGAAACTTTCTGATTAGCAGCCAAGCAGCAGCTGCTAGGCTAAACTGTTAGCTATTCAATGAGTTCCTCTCAAAAAGCTCTCTGTACAAAAGTCCTTTGGTAGGTTGGGTCTCCGAGGGATATTATATGCTGTGAGCGAACTGCTAGAAATGGTTCAGTGTCTTAGTATAGAGGGATTTTCCTCAAAAGCACCCCCACAGGCTAACAGTTAGCTGTTGAATAAGCGATAAAGGATAAATGATGCACACAGAGTCTGTTTGTTTGTGTTAGCGCAAGTGTTTGTGTTAAGACAAGTGAGCTAATCACTCTGACCGAGGGCTTTTTACAGACAACGTTTTAGGGAAATAAAATATGTGTGGCCTTAGCTTTTGTGTACAAGTGTGTGTTTATATTGAGTGTGACACGAGTTGTCCTCCTCCCACAGGCACAAGCCCACACGCACCCGCCAAAGTCCACGTTTCGGTCTCGACGACCTCGGCCAACATCTCGTGGGAACCCTGTTACGACGGCGGCTTTGAGCAGACATTCTCAGTCTGGTATGGCCATGTGTGAGTCATCCCAGCATGCTTTGCTTTCTGCTTCTTTTCCTAACTGTTGACCTGAGCTCTGCCGCTGCTGTGAGGCTGCTACATCTGCGGGCAATGGGTGGCATGGGGCAAAACCTTTCCCCATAGGGGTGAGATGACCAGCAGGGCCCTCCAATCTTGAGTCAGACACACTGTTAATATTAATGTCAGTGCAGCTTTATAGTTATGGGTATAATATCATGGTCAGGACTCTTTATATGACATATAATTAATAAAATACAGTCTAGTTTGATGTAAGTCTTGTTCATAACTTCCAAACAACTTCATACCGGAATGTCTTGAGCAAAGATAATCATTCTGTGATTAATCCAGACCCACTGAGTTTTTTTGTTCTCTGAGTAGTTAGCTAGCATGTTGGCCGTGATAATTTTGCTCATAACGATAGAATCGGAATGGAATGATCAGGCAGCAAAATCCCTCCACGGAGTCGTTATGAGTCGCTGCATGCAAAGTTTTGCTGTTGTGTGCAGTTCGACTGCTTTTTAAACACTTCAGCACACTAAAATAATGACATTTATGAGATTTAGAAGAAACAGTCTGCTGTTGAATCTGGCGTGCCATCGGTTGTAATATTTTTTATGGAAAACACATGTATGTTAGGGTAAGTTTTTTATTATTATTATTATTATTATTATTATTATAGTTTAATGTCAAGAACCCCTTTACTAAAATATAAAGGCAGCTCTATATTTTTATTTATACATTCATGCACACAGACCTGTTCATACTGTGAGAAAAATTATAGTGTTGTTCACCCCAAAATTAGTTGTCATCATTTAATTTTTTTGTTTAATTTAGTTATTTAATTTTAGTTATGTTATGTGCTTTGTCATTTTTATAAAAATATTTTTAAATATTAAATAAAATTTTTAATTTTTAATTTAAGTTTTAGTAATTTTAGTACTTATTTCAGTTAGCTGCCAAGGGAACATAAGTTATTTTTAAAAAGAAATGTAAGTTTTTCTGGTAGAATTTATTTTATTTCAACTTGATTTAAATGATCAAAAACTATTTTTAATAATTTTAGTTTTTGCTAACATATGTTAACATACATTAACACTGTGCCATTTACTCACCCTCATGTCCTTCCAAACCTGTATGACTTCTTTTCTTCGGTGTAACAGAACAGAAGCATATTTTCTTTCTTCTGTGGATATTTTAAAAATTTATTTTTTTATGCATATAATGGAGTGACATGAGTGCAAGTAAATGAGGACAAAATTTTCATGGAAGCACATTGTAGATATTAATCCTGATAATATAGAAAACATCAAATGACATTTCTAAAGAATGTTTAGAAGTACAGTAGAACTCAGATGTGAACCTGTAGTTTGTACTGTACATACAGTACAGTATTGTGCAGTACAGTATGACGCCCTGAGAGATTCTGATGATTCTTATGCATGAAAAGTATGTATTAATGTAAAGACTTTGTCTTGTGCCTTCTCGCAGTTCAGTGCTAAACAGATTTTGATATTTTAACCGTATGCAGAAAACCAACTATTGCAAGTAAGTATTTACTGTATCATAATTTAAAAAGTTTTCATTACTTGCTTCGGTAAGGTGACATCCAGGGTTTAAAGAGGTGCCCCTGCGGTACTTTTGTTAGTGACTTGATCCATAACGGCAAACTCTTGCTTCTGGCTTAATCAGCAGCACATTCGTCTCCTCTGCCTCTCTTCATCTCTCTGCTGCCCATGCCAGCGCTTCTGCATCCCTGTGATTCTGCTCCCTGTGTGGCGCTGTCCTCTACGATATTCACCCGGAATATCAGCATTCTATAGCTTTCTGTGCTCCTGACTCTATAGAATGGCACATGCTTCGCAATAGTCTTTGTATGTTTGCTTTGGTGGGTATGACAAGAACATTTCAATTGTATGTCTTTAAAGCTGTGTCTTTGCTAGCGATACTTGGAACTTACTCATTTTAGAACATATTTCACCAGGTAACAGATGGCAGCAGTGTTTTATGGGAATGTAGCATGAACAGGTTTAGCCCGTTGCGAGCCCTGGAGACAGATTTCACTCCTTTTTGAGCTATTAATAGTCATGAAATTTAGTTTAGAGTTTAGAGACACACATGGCTGTTATATGGAGAAAAATAGAGGAAAGTGTAAGGATTATATGACCTGGGAAAGGAATGTTTATATATAGGACTGTATACAGTATATACACTACCCTTCAAATATTTTCCGGTTGGTAAGGTTTTTTTTTTCTTTTGTTTTTAAAAGAGAAGTCTCTTATGCTCACCAAGAATGCATTTATTTTATGAAATATAAAGTATAAAAGGAAAAAAGTGAAATATTGTTACAATTAAAAATAACCTTTTATTTTTAATACATTTCAAAATAAAATGTACTCCTGTGATGTCAAAGCTGAATTTTCATCAGCCATTACTTTATGCTTCAGTGTCACATGATCCTTCAGAAATCATTTTAATATGCTGATTATGTACTTAATAAACAATGTTGAAAGCGGTTGTGCTGCATAATATTTCTGCGGCTTAATATTTCAGGATTCTTTGATGAATAGAAAGTTCAAAAGAACAGCATTTATTTGAAACAGAAATATTTTGTAACAATGTAAGTCTTTACTCTCACTTTTAATGCATCTTTTCCTGATTAAAAGTATTAATTTAATAAAAAAAATACCGACCACAATCTTTTGAACTGTAGTGTTAAAATATATATATATGTTAAATCAGCATTATGCGCCTACATTGCGGCTGCAGTAAGGTACCCAATTATTATCTTTCTTAGTGCTTGTTTAAGTTTTTTTGCAACTTGCAACTTTAACTGAACTGAGGAATCACGGCACATATTATTATATTAATATATATTTTTTGTTGTTTGTTCGTATTCTTCATGCTAAGGGTGAATAAAAAATAACATAAAAAATGTTGCTTCAGATTGAATATGTTGCTTCAGACTAAAAAACTGACATGAATTCTTACCCGGGTGTTAACTCATCAAGAAATGAGATGTATCATATTTATTTCCAAGTATGTGGCGCAGATCGGAATGTGATTTTTGCTGTTCACATTGTCATCCAAGACAGATCTGTGTCTCATATAAGGGAACCGTGTCTGTATGTCACACTCAGCATTTCTTCACAGTCTATACTGTCTACTAACTTGAGCCCTTCCACTAACACAGCAGTCCACACATGCAAAAGCTAAAGAAGAATAGAAGCCCCATGGAGGATGAAAGCATATTAATCCTCACCCAAGGGCCAGACCTTCCTCACTGTTCTGCTTCCGACTTCTTCTTAGATCATCATTATCTGCTGGCCTGATGTGTCCACCATGGGTGCCTGAGCAATCGGAGACCTGTGCCAAGAGCTGACTAAAGGTGTCATTTGAAACATTGGGCAGTGTGACTCATGCTTTAAAGGTTGTGTATGAATGGCCTTTAAAGGTGACCCACGTGAGCTCAACAGCTCCCATCAGCCTCATTGACGCAGATAGTTGGCGTGTTCCTGCTACTTCCTGTGCATTGCAGGAGAGGTGGCGAGCGACCGCTGAGATGCTGTGAATAACACACATCTCAAGAGCCTGTGAACTCTCAAGCTATAAGGGCATGAAGGAAGTGATCAATTAGACTTCAATGGAATATTATAACTCACCAATAGGAACAGGGCGAATGACGTATACACCTGATAACTTACTATTTTCTTTTTGAAAGTCATTAATAGTCCTAACACAGTGTAATTTCAATATCTCAAAGGATGCCTTGTGTTTAGCACAGCAATCTGTGAGAAAGATGACATTTTGAACGTTTTGGTTCTTGCATTAAGATGGTATAACTATACTATATATATTATTACATAAAATATTTAAACATTTGTTTTGAGAAAATGAATTCTATATATTTTATATTTATGGAAGCCTGTTTCCGCCACTGAATATAAAATTGCGACTTTTTATCTCACAATTCAGACTTTTTTCTCGCAATTACAAGTTCATTTATTCTCAGAATGACGTGATACAAACACACATTTCTGAGAGTCAGAATTGTGAGATATTAACTCGCAATTTTTAAGGTATAAAGTCAGAATTGCGGGATATAATTCTGACTTTTTTCTCACTAATGTGACATATCTCGCAATTCTGACTTTTTTCTCACAAATGCAGTTTGAATCTCGCCATTCTGACTTCAGAATTGCATGATATAAACTCACAACTTTGAGTTATAAAGTCAGAATAGTGAGATATAAACTCACAATTCTGACTTTTCTCACAAATGTTAGTTTATATCTTGCAATTGGGACTTTATGACACGCATTTGCGAGTTATCAAGTCCAAATTGTGAGATAAAAAGTCACAATTCTGAGAACATATCAGTCTTTTTTCCCCTCAGAATTGGACTTTATAACTTATAACTGCAGGCCTATATCACGTAATTCTGAGAAAAAGTCAGAATTACGAATTTATAGTATGCAACTCTGAGAAAAAATTCAGAATTGCGAAATGTAAACTCGTAATTGTGAGAAAAAAAATCAGAATTGTGAGATAAAAAGTCGCAATTACCATTTTTTTTTATTCAGTGGCAGGAACGGGCTTCCATACATTTCTAATGTTATAAATTAACAAATATATATATATATATATATATATATATATTAATATATTAGTTTGTATATTATACGTATTATTTATTTCGTTCTTGTTTAGGTATTCAGCGTTTTTAACATATATTCTTATTTTTATGATGGATTTTCATATTTTAAGACTGATAGTTTGAATAGTAAGATAGATAGTTTAAAAAAAAAACACCCATGTAAGTTTCAGTTTTGTCACAGATTCACCTTTTATAGTTTATGGTGAACAAAGACACCATGTATGTTTTGTGCGTCCTTGGAGAGGCAGTTTATTTTAAATCAAATATAAATATATAATAAATGGAGGAAATAAAGTGTCATGAGGATGATAATACTGTACTGAAGGGGGGCATGCATGGTGTCCTTGTGTTGCTTTCGTACAATAAAGGTCGAAGAAATTCAGCTTGAATTTAGTCAGGACGTCCGGTGGGAGTCATTTCATGCATGCCAAGGGCAGCAGTTTATCAGAATGAAGCATGCTGGCTGTAGGTGCAGCTACACAAAGTTTTGAGCATGCAAAACTACTTGGATATGTGCAACAGAACATGATGTGACAGTCCAGGGCTTCTGTAGTTAAAAGTCTGTAAAAGATCTGTAGTCTGTAAAAAATCACTACTCCACTTATCCACAACATCGTAGCCATTCTGGTGGTTTCTATAAGGAGATGTATTGTCCATAAGACTCATTTCAAGCCATAGGTCTTTCTCAAGAGATCCAGGGGAAAGAGCTGTAGACAAGATACACTGAAGATCTATGAGGATATTTTTGTAAAGATCAGCGGTCGAAAACGCATTCTTCAGAATTTCCTCTGGGAAACCGTGAGACAGTTTTTGTGTTATTGGATGTCACTGAGCACTCACACTGAGCCAAACAAGCTGTCTTTTTACGTCTAGCTGCAGGCAGTGCTCTCATCAGTATTGTGAGCGACATGGCAATCATTATCGGAGCGTATGCGCATGTATGCTTGTGCCGTGCTGAACTCTCTCCATCTGTGCATGTGACTCCTCCTGCAGGGTGAAGAGGGAGCAGTTAGGACCGCATGACTGGCTGTCCATGCCTGTGCCCAGCGGGCAGCACTGGCTCCTTGTGCAAGGCCTGGAGCCCGAGACGGCCTACCAATTCAGCGTCCTGGCCCAGAACAAGCTGGGGACGGGCCCGTTCAGCGAGGTCGTCACTGTGAACACACTAGGTTGGCCACCTGCACGATACAATTTACAAAGACAAGATCATCTCTGCCTGACAGAAATGCATTTTATTGTAGGGATGGGAATGGCAGAATTTAAGGATAACAGTATTTTGATCCCTGTTATAATGTTTTTTTTAGTACCTTTGAATAAGCTCCAAATACATAATCGTAACTATATTAGACTATATTATATATTTTATTTACAGAAATATTGAAATTATGGCTGGTAGTGATAAGCTGATCATTTTAATTGTATTGTCTTCTAAACGGATATTAGTATTACAAATACTACGAAATAGTATTAAAATACTATTTTGTCTAAATAAATTGGAAAGAACACACTAACAACTGAAACCTAGTCATTTTAAATGCTACAAGTGAATTTAGGCATCATAACTTTATATGTAAATATTTATAATGTATATGTTTATTTTGAGATTTTTTTTATTTGAAATTTACATTTAACATTAAAATGATTAGTGTTTTTAGGATTTTCTTGAACTGAGTATTAGATACCAATAAATAATCAAGTATCCAAAATTGGAATATAGTGATTAAAAGAAATTGTAATATAATAATAATAATAATAATAATAATAAATTATATGATACTGTAATACTAGCAAATTTATCACTTATATATCACTACAGGTCAGATGTTTGGGGTCAGCAAACATCTGAACTGTAGATTCAGATGTTTTTTTGTTTTTGTTAAATTTATACTATACTATTTATACTATAGAATTTAATACTTTTATTCAACAAAGATTAATCAAGTTAACCAAAAGTGAACATAGAGCAGTATCTTTTTAGTATAACTGAGATACAATTATAGTTTTTATTAAAATTGTAATAATTTTATTAATTTCAATTTTAGGTCAAGTTTTAGTAATTTTGTTGTGTTTTTTTTGTTGTTGTATTTTTTTTAATTCATACTATACTATTTATACTATAAAATTAATACTTTTATTCAGCAAAGATGAATCAAGTTAGCCAAAAGTGTCCATAAAGCAGTATTATTATAGTATAACTGAGATACTATTATAGTTTTTATTAAAATTTTAATCATTTTTATTAATTTTAATGAAGTTATAGTTAATTTAGTAATAGTTAATTCTGTTGTCTGTTATTTGTCATTTTTAGTATTTTTTTTCTATATGTATGTATATAATTTTTTTAATTTTAGTAATTTTAGTACATTAAGTTTTTTATATATTTTATTATTTAATTTATTCAGTTAACATTTATTTTTATTATATAAATGAAAATATTTTTATGGTTTTAATTTATGTTTTTAATTTAAATTTTAGTTAACTATAATAACCCTGCTGTAAAGACATTTATAATGTCAAAAAATATATGTCAAATAAATGCTGCTCTTTTGAACTTTCTTTTAATCTTAAAATAATTAAAAAAAAATTATAATTGTTTTCACAAAAAATGTTAAGCAGCACTACTGTTCTCAGCATTAATAAGAAGAGATGTTTCTTAAACATCAAATCAGAATGTTTAAATGATCCAGTGGTTTACTTTGTTTCCTCTAGTATTTCCTATAAGTACCCCAGAACCACTGGTGCTGCTTACCCCACCACGGTGCCTCACAGCCAACCGGACACAGCAGGGAGTCCTACTCACATGGATCCCTCCAGCCAATCACACGTCGCCAATTGATCACTACATCATGGAGTTCCGCCTCGGGGAGAGGTGGGATGTTCTTGATGATGCAATCCCTGCTGGAGAGACAGAGCTTTTGGCTAGAGACCTGGTTCAGGTATGCCTGTGATGACCATTTCAAAAGATTGACATAAGGCTTGTATTGGCATTCCTGCAGGTGTAAATGTGTTTGAGCATAAAACAAACTACAGCGAGAATAAAAGTTACGCCTTCTTTCTTTGTGTGAACATTTGGGCAGTGTTATACAAATCTTCACACATAGTGACGTAGGTATGTGGGGCGTGTTAGAACGAGCCGTTTTAGGTAGGCGTGGCTGACTCTTAACTTTTATAAATAATATCTCTTTGGATTTGAGACTTTAGTCTTTGCAACTTTACAGATCTTCTTTATGCACCAAGAGCTTGTAACACTCCAAAGAGAAAGGAAAAATTGAAATCGCATCATATGACCCCTTTAATGCTGTAGCTCTAAAAGCATAATTCATCCAACAATAAATATTTAGTCATCATTTTGTTTATTAAATGTACATTTGGGGGGAAAAAGCAAAAAGGTGGGGAAATCTTCCTCAAGGTTTTCTACTGCAACTAAAGTTCAAATGGATTGAGTTTTCTAGTCATCTGTTTTGCAGGAAGCCTGGTATGAGTTCAGAGTGATGGCGGTTATGGAGGACCATGTCAGTGAGCCCAGTAATGTAGTGGGAGTCTCTAGCACAGGTCAGTGCTCTGAGGATTTTTATAGTCCATATGGGTTTTGAAAATGTATTGTGAGATTTACTGCACATAATATCATGTTATACTGTGACATTTTAGTGTAGACCCACACAAGCATTTATGGAGTGAGTTGATTCTGAAATAGTGATTGTCTCTGCTGCCATCTGCAGGATTTAATATGAATCACACACTGTTTGTCTGTCTGAATGAAGGAATTAAAACAAGTCAATTTTTAGAAATATTGGTGCATTGTGCACTTATTGTTTTAATATATATATTTTTTATAAATATAGTTTCTATCTATTTCAGTGACTGTATAATTAGTCTAGTTGTGTACAAATGTTTCAATGTCTCAAACCACAGAAAATTCAAATCAAAGAATAAATATTGTCCAAAGAAAGTATGTTAAATTTTGGAAGAAGACTTTGGACTTTGTGGAAGAAATCTCTTACGCTCACCAAGACTGCATTTATTTATAACAGTAATATTATGAAATAGTATTACAATTTAAATTAACTGCTCTATTTTAATATATTTCTGTGATGGCAAAGCTATAGCTGAAGACTGCAGACATTACTTCAGCATCACATGATCCTTCAGAAATCATACTAATATGCTGATTTCTTATTATTATCAATGTCGAAAACAGTTGTGCTGCCTAATAATTTTGTTTGTTTGTTTATTATTTTTATAGCAACTATAAAAACAATTTAAAAACAACTCATGCTGACCAAAGTGCTTTCCAATCAATCAACATATAAAACAGAATAACCAAAACTAAGACAACAAGAACATAAGAACAACATGACATAAACAAAACCTCCAGTGATTGACAGTCGCCTCTGAATGATTGAATTTACTAAATAGATAGTTTATGCGCTGCAGTCAGAATTCAATCACTACTTGAAGTCAAAATAAACACGAGGCTGCCATTCAGGCTTTGTTTTCATTTCTCAAAGTATCCCAGGGTGATTTTGAATGTATTTTGAATGTCTTTTATGGATCAAGATAGGCGACTATTTCATTCTGTTTCAATCTTTTAAATCTTCCCTGCTATTAACTAAATCATTCGGAATGAGCTGTATAGCTTATTGTTGAAACAGCCCACACTAAGAATGAAAGCGCTTGTGTGTGTACGTGCTGAAGGCGAGCTTGTTTGTATCTTTCAGACTACTTCCCGCCGCCTGAGGTGCCAGACGAGGGGCTGGCACGGCCGGTGGTGGCAGGCATTGTGGCCACCATCTGTTTCCTAGCAGCAGCCATCCTCTTCAGCACGCTAGCGGCCTGCTTCGTCAACAAACAGAGACGGCGTAAGCTCAAGCGGAGACGAGGTCAGTGGTGCCCTTGCGGTCAGAATGCCCTCCTCTTTCTCATTCAACCACATACCCTACATCTTACCCTACAGACACTGAGAAACATTCCATTATGTTTAGCATTCAAGACACTCCCACAGTTTTGTTCTCTTACAGTTTGAAGGAGTTTAAATAACAGGCAGGTGTCACAATCACACAACTGATGATGCAGAAAGCTTTCAGAATGCTTTTTCATTAGGAAATGCAGGGCTAGAGACTTCGACCAAATGGTCGTATTTTGCGACCATTTTTTCTGCCGGTGCGATTAAATTTTGTGAGCTGTCGCACTGGCGCAACCGCCTCGTTGTTTAACTTGTAATCGCTGCCATTTCTGTTGCATATGAGTAACATCAAACGGCAAATGAAACAAAAGCGTAACAAAATCCTGCTACTCATTTGAGCTGCGCAGCGAGGACCGTTTATCAGCTCGAACCGAGACACAAACAAACTTGTCGGAGCTCAAAACAGCTTTATTCGGGAATCAAAGTTGATTTTGTGACACTGTTACAGCACAGCACTGCGAGATCCAGTGAGAAGCGTTTGAATTTGCCGCAGAATGAAGAAAGAGCAGACGAGACGAGAGACGTGCGGATACATATGCAAGCTTTTTATTAAAAGACGTGGTCACTAACACAGGCAGGGTCGAAACACCAGCGAACAGGAATTGCATGGGCAAAACACAAGAGCAGTCCAGTAAACAGGCGTGGGTCGTTCGACGGTGAACAATATCCAACAGGGCAAGGCAAAGAGAGATAATCCAGGTACACAGCAATAATCCAGTCAGGGGCAAACAGAGTCCAAACGGCAAGACGAAGGGGGTAATCCGAAATACACAGGCGAGAACCAAAACACGGGAAAAACAGGCAAGGCAAGACTATGAATAAACTGGGAAAGATAGAGCAGGCTCCGTAAAGTAGCTATCAACTAAACAGTGATAAACGCTAAACAATACTCGGCGACTTGAGCAGGATCTGGGTGGATGTTATATAGTGTGTGTAATAGCTTTTAGGTGAGCGTGTGATTGGTTACAGCTGTGTGCAATCAGTGCAATGGATGATGGGAAATGTAGTCCAGGGTATAGTGTAACAGTCTGTGTAGTGTGAGAGTCCATGTAGTGAGCAGGTGACCTCTGCTGGTGAGTGAACGGAAGTTCATAGACCGGATTCATGACACTTAGTGCTTTATTGTCAAATGTGAATAAACAAGAAATGAACATGCAAAACAATAGAAATTTAATGATTAAATTATCTATATTTTTAATACTCCCACACACCACCCCCCAACACTACCAAATCTGCTCCTGGCGCCTCCATCTGCAGAACTTCTGTAGAAATGTTTACATTTAATTTATCTGTTTAGTTGATTTTTTGTACTGGCCACATAATTTGTTTCCATCTACTAATGTGTTCTCGTACTGTAATGAGTAATGCCATGTCCCTCTGAAATTAAAAGAATACTGCACATTGTAATTTCTATGAGTTAAGTCTATTTATTATCAAAGCATTTGTCAGTAATACATTTAAAATGGGGAAATTATGTGAATGATTGCATTGCAGGCTGATTTAAGGTGTGCCCCTAAATTTTCTGCTTGTGCTCCTAAAAATTTTCAGTCAGGGGCTACAGTGCTCCTAGTAAAAATAGTTAGTCTGGAGCCCTGAAATCAGTCTTTTTATGCGTGTCTGAAATCTCTAATCTGGTTTTCTCTTCAACAGATCCCCCTCTGTCTATAACACACTGCAGAAAGAGCGTGGAGACTCCGTAAGTAATGTCTTTTAAGAACTTCCCCCTTCTCCCCTCTCACCTCAGTTTATTCAGACAGAGAGTGGAGTGTGCTTCATAAATCAAGACATCCGACAGGCACGCCCTCTCGTTTAAAGATCCTATTAGAAGAGCCATTAATTACTGCTCAGTGATAGGCCTGATGTAGTGTGCTCATGGACTGAACAGTCTAAGTTAATTTCATCAAAGAGCGGTTTCTTCATTTTTTCATTAGTCTGAATTTCTAAATAGTTCTCTCTTGTGTTTGCCTTGATTTGCACTTTAGATCTATGGTTCTCAGCCTTTTAGACTCCAAGGTCCCCTATTTTCCACAGCAATATTTAGCTATTGCTGCTATTTAGCTATATTTATTTATTGAGGGGGTGAATTAAAATAATAAATATCTTGATTAGATAGCTTATTATAATGCTTATTATAATGCTTGTTTTGTCTTATTTTAAATCATTTTAAGTCATCTTGAAACCCCTTTGGAAGTTGGCCCTGGCCACCTGGTAGAGATTTGCTGCTTTACAATAGATGTTATTGTGCATTACTGTACTGGCTTATTCAAATCTTAGACACTAATCTAATTCACTATATTCATGTTTTGTGTTAATTAACAAAGTATATTTCTGAAAATAACCAACTAAATGTAATATAAGCTTTTTGGCAGTTTAAAGACTTCAAATACTCAATTTAAAGACATGTTTTCTATTTGCACATTTAGCAAGAACACTGTCAGAAAAAAAGCAGTATACAACAGCATATTAGTAGTGTAAGTAAGGTGCGAAAGTGTACCTTTGAGGGTACTTCCCTAAGCAGAATTTTTTTTGTTTTTTTCCACAAATTATCTTATTTTGTATGTTTACTAGAAACACCACTGGCCCATTTTGCCATATGAAGTTTATTATCATTAACTAACTACTTCAAAATGTTGGACATGTTGTAAAGGGATTGCACCTATCTATCTATCTATCTATCTATCTGTCTGTCTGTCTGTCTGTCTGTCTGTCTATCTATCATCTTTTTGCCACTTTTATTAATTACCAAATGAGAGGTGACAGAAAAAACAACCTGAGCTGAATTCAAAACTGCATCTTTATTGGTGCATTACAGCATTTATTAACCTGTGTTGGGGGTAACACATTACAAGTAACGCGAGTTAAGTAATCAGATTACTTTCTAAAGTAACTAGTAAAGTAATGCATTACTTTTTACAGTTTTTCTCAGTCGCTTTGGTGCATTTCTAACATCACTATTTACATTTGCACAACAGTTAATGCAGTTCTCAAAACAGATTTTGACAACTAGTTCAACATTTTTGTATGTAATGACTCAAGCAATGAAATGAGGACTATTAGTTTTATATGGAATGACTATTCAGCATTCACAAGTATAGTTAATTTTGACTGACATGACATAAGCAAATGATAATGTTATAAAACAGCAGAGAGTTGTATGAAAGCAATTGATGCATGTCCAAAAGCATTTGCAATTTGTTCGAAGGAATGAGAAACTGCTACTATGATGTGCACAAATGACTAAATGTTGTGGAGGTTGAACTAACTGTTGTGCAAATGTAAATAGTGATGTGAGAAATGCACCAAAGCGACTGAGAAAAACTGTAATTTAGAAGGAAATATCTGAGTTACTTTTTCAAATAAGTACTGCCAGTTACTTTGTTTCCCATGTATTGACTGACAGCTCTCCTGTCCCCATGTTGAGAGAAATCGGGAGTAAGTGCGGAGGAGTTGTGTGTGCTGTGTGAACATGGTGTTACTGTAGTTCTAGGCTAAATATAAACACATTTACTCATCTCATCTGTACAAAAACAGATTTAGTATTCCTCAAAATGTATAAAAACAGTTAAAAGCAAACTCCGAATATTATACAAACCTACAATAATTAAATATATTAAATAAGACAAATATAATTGATGTATTTAATCCCATTTTATTAACCAGTGTCTTTGCTACTGACTTTCGATGATCCAATTCAAACTTACCAAGCAAAAATAACACATTTGTGTTTCATTTTTGTTATTTTGGAATAGTGTTGAACTTTATTCTCCTGCGTCATATTCTTCATGCAATTTGTTTGAGCTGCACCCTCTACTGTACAGACATGGATTTACATTTCCTTCAGCCTGAGGCGTATTCTTTTCACTTTTGGTGTGAAAGGGCTTTTATATTTGTAAAATAACTTTTTATATTAAAAACAAACAAGCATGCCCTGCCCAGATTTAAAAAGTTACTCAAAGTAACATATCGCATTACTTTCCATTAAAAAGTAACTGAGTAATGTAATTAGTTACTTTTTTAGGGAGTAACGCAATATTGTAATGCATTACTTTTAAAAGTAACTTTCCCCAACACTGTTTATTAATGGCATTTGAAGTTTATTCCTATTTTTCTGTAACTGATCTTGTGTTTTATGGCTGTTAATTAGCTATTTAAGTTATTGTAGGGAAAAAAAATGCTGTTCATGTATTCCTGCTTGACTGTGGTTTTGGCTTCATGGACAATGGTTTTGATGACACTTACTACCCTAGCAAAGAAAGTACTGTAGGATTAGGGTCAGGTTCATCCTCATAGTAATTGGTTTCTGCACAGACACTGATTTAAAGTGACCTGCTGCTTTTGAGTTCCCATGGCAACAATCAGACATTGAAAAGAGAGTGCAAAACATGCTTGTACAGTACAAGCACTGTAAATGATATGCAACATCTGTGATTTAAAGTGCAGTTGTGTTAAAAGTGTTTTTTAATCATTTTGTGTGCTATAATCCAAACACACAGAATAACAATTTATTGTGAAAATGAATATTAATCACACATGGAGTTTATATAATAATGGAGTCTCTGTAGTTCACCCAAAATTTGTTCTTGTGTGTCTCAAAACTGGTAGATACTGTATGTACAATTTTTCAGTAAATATTAACTTAAAACTGCTTATAAGCACATGAATATTTAAAGCATTGAGGCTTTTATTAGTTGTTTTCCCCCCCTGAACATTATAAGCAGTAAGCAGTATTTCATAACTTACCATTAAAAGCAGTGCTAATCGCCTTTTAAAATTACTAGCGCAACAAGTAGCTTAACCCAATGTCAAAACCGTTTTTTAAAAAGACGATAATCCAGATTTAATGTTGTATAAAAAGCCCAGATGACAGAATTTATTTTTTTTTTTTTTTTGGGTGAACTATAATGAGTTTTGGTGATAAACACAATATCTGTGGATTCTCTACCATGGTAAATGTGCATGCTGTGTTGTCTCTGCTTCAAAGAATGCCTGTTACAATGCTTTCATATTTTTATTTTGCATTTACCATGGTACACTAACACACTACTGAAGAACAGGGAGGGTATAGTACTTTATTTCTCCGGTATACCACTGCAACAATCTCGGCTTGTCTTAACTTACATTTTACACTAACTCTGTTGTTTGTCTTTCTTCCCAGTGCTAATAACAGTGGACATCGGTGACTAGGATTTCCATATTTATACATTCAATAGTATTTATTCATATTATTTCTTCATAATCTAATATTTAAAGTATTATCCTATCACAGTATCGCATACTGCTTTGATGAATCAAGAAGAAGCAAATTTACTTGCATCCTTTGATGTCCTCTAATGCTTCAGAAACACAAACGATGAGATTTAAGTGACTAGTGAGCATGTAACAGTGCTTCTCTATAATAATACATTTAGACTAGTGATGTCTCAGATATTACATTTATAGTACTTGATACTCCTACATGCATCTTTCAGTAATCTAAAGCTAAGTGGGTTAACTCTGGTATGATGTCAGTCATAAACTGCATAGTCACGACATTTAAAAACATGCTGCTATTGCATTTCACCTTATTTCATGATATGCTGGGATATGGTATCTCTTTGTGGTAGTGCTGTAGTATTGAATTGAGTATTTTAGCTAGTTATCTAACTGCTTTTATCTGCAGTATTATGTTATTTTTATGGCATTCATTTTTCACAAAATATACTTTGAGTTATTGTACTTTTACATAGGCTTGTGCTTTGCAAAATTATACAGTGGAGGCAAAAGTTTGATGTCACTAAAAATCTGGTATTCATTGTCAAGAAAAAGAGAGAGAGAAAGAAAGAAAGAAAGAAAGAAAGAAAGTAAGTTTGGGGATTTTGAACATATAAAATGAAGACATGTTAATAATGTCAAATGAATGAGAAATGCTTAACATTCTGTACTATTTCAATAAATAAGCTCATTTGTGTAGTAATCAGCATTGTTTCCACTGAAGCACAAGATGGTCTTTGGAGCATCAAATCATGCTGGCAAACAAACTCCACAAGTTTGTGTAAAACTTGATGATGCATTTTGAGTCCAGTTGTTATTAAAGCAACTTTAAAAAAAAAAATCAATGTTTTTATTTAATTTTCATCATTTAAAAAAAAAAAAATCTAAATTGGAAATATAATTATTTAAAAAATGCAGACCCAAAGCATTTAGTCTCAGATCTTTGCACTCCACTGTATATCAGCTGCTTTTGTCAGGAATCTCAAATAAACCACTGAATGTCTACTGGTATATCAAAACAAGGATGCTGCATGGATCCCAGCTTGCCTTGACATCCCTGCATGCATAGGCCCTAAAATTAGTGAAAGATGATAAACTGTGTCATTTAATAAATGAACAATCCAGTGCCCTCGATCATTATCATTTCTTATGTCATCAAGCTCTCCCTTCCTCTTTCCTTCACTTCTATCTTTCCATGTCACTGTTTTTTTATTCTCCTACTATGTTGTTTGTATGGAAAGCAGCCTCATTAATTGCCAACATGACCCCTCCCCTACCCATCCTTCCCATCTCTATTGTGTTTCCTGCCGCAGGAGTCCTCTTACCCCTCTACCTGGCATAGAACCCTACTGGGAAGGCCAGGAAAGGAGCAGCTACAGGCCTCCGCCCTCCAGTCCTCTGTGAGTGCCTGCACCTTGTTCAGCAGTGTGCACTGCCTTATGTCGCATGCGTCCCATGTGCGCTGCTGGGCACGGTTGTTTTGGCAGGCTGTGAACCCATGCGCTTTACACACAGGAGACCCAAAGCTTAAGACTTTGTTGCCTTTTGGCATCCTGCCGACTCACACATTTACACTTAGGATCGTGAAATTAAAAGTGCTTTCTGGGTTATTTTCAACTTAATTTCTGTTTTAGTGCGTGTGAATGTTTGTATAAAGAAACATTTACATTAATACACTTATAATGGAAGCAGGAAAGTGTGCCAGAGGGTTTCACATCAGAAATGTAAAGCTTGTATTATTTTTAAACACCTACAAGAGTGTAAGTAAATGTATTTTTGTTTGAAGTTATCATCTTTATTTTAAGATGGCAATTGTTCTCATGGTGGAGCAGCTGGTTATGTATTACAAAAATAATTCTTCTGATTGGTTAACTGATATAGAAGTATAGGGATAGTTACATTAAAAAAACTGTATCATCGCACTGCTCTCTGTCTGTTTCTCTATCTGTCTCTCTCTCTCTCTATAAAAATATGTGAACCCATTAGAATTGGTTGGGTTTTTGCATTAATTGGTCATACAATGGCAAACACAACGTGCTTAAGCTAACAACACACACACTAATTGTTGTTGTCAATACCTGTGACTGATTAAGATCAGATGACATTCTATGACCAATTAATGCAGAAAACCAACTAATTCCAAAGATTTCACATACTTTTTCTGACCACTGTATTATATCCAACTTTGATCACATGCATACAGTATGTTCATATGAAGTGATATATATACTACTGTGTATAGCAAGTCTCTACTGCCTCCTTTTTAATTTCCTCACGAAATATAAATTATCACATTAATTTTGTACATTAATTTTGAAAATAAAAGAAGGAAATAGTTACAAATAGTTACAATACACTACACAAACCTGTTTGCCTCCTAGGCTTCCGTTATAAGTGTATTTACTCATTCCATTTATAATTGAAGGGACTCAGAATTGTTTGTGAGAACTGAGAGCATACCAAACTTGCAGTCCATAGACTTTAGGTTGTAAATAACCCGGTGTGCACCTTTAATTTGATTAAGGCCTCAGTTTATTTTCATGTGTCCTGCAGAGGGCGACATTCACCTTTAATTTGATTATGAGGCAGTGCATTAAGAGCTGTGGAATCCTTGTCACAGAACTGGGTCAAGTTTGTCATGAACGCTTTTCATAACGCTTGCTTTATATGAAATTAAGCAAGCAACCAGACTTTAAATCAAATTTAGCCCTTTATTGAAATTTAAAAAAAATATATTTCACACACAATCATCTCTGAATGAAATTTAATACAGCTCCCCAAACTCTCATCAAGTCACCCATTACATGGCTGGACCTTTGCTGTAAGATGAAGATGTGGATGTGAGTTTTGATTCTCTTGTGATGCAGTCACTTCTCCATTTAGTTAAGCCACTCCAGTTTACTCTTAGTTCTTAGCGTTATTCTCACTCCTGATGGGTCTCTCTGGGTGATCTGTTGCGTTTTCTCTCTGTCTGCCAAATTTTTTTCCTCCACAGGTCCACATTTTTAGTAGTAGCCTATCTATCTATCTATCTATCTATCTATCTATCTATCTATCTATCTGTCTGTCTGTCTGTCTGTCTGTCATGATAAACACACTACCAATGTTAAATTCTAATGTGTGTGTGTATACATACACACATATATATATATGAAGAGTTCATTTGCAAAAACCGATAAATGCCACTTAAAAAAAAAAAGAGCTGATTGCCATGCATTATTCTCCACATATAGCGCGATCTGAACTCTAAACATGTTTTGTCAAAAAAGCCGGTTTTGTCTACTTTCAAGGCATCGCGAGTTATATATATAATAAAAATAGTAAAACATTTTAATATTATTACAAAACTGAAGCTATGATATATAAATATCATAGCTTCAGTTTTGTAATAATATTAAAATATTTTACTTGCTGTAGTCTACATAATGCATTGCATGTGAACTTTTGTGCTTCCACACGTTTACAGTAGTTTAAATAACATTGGACCCATTAAGCCCACAGGCTGCCAAGGGGTGGCTTGCACTCTCTTTCATGTGTCTTAACCACCCCATAATGTTAGTTTCAGATTTCTCCCTCCCAAGCACCTGAACTGCCTGTATGTCACCAACACACCCTTGCACACCAGAGGTTAACGTGCAGCAGCGTTCAGCAGCGTTCAATCCTGCGTTCAGATTGCTTTTTGTTGTTATTTATTGTTTTGTTAGTGGATTTATCTTATATAAATGGTAAACATTGCACAATCCTGGTATATTATGAAGCTTATGCACTTTGTGTTGTTATTTGCAATTACTTTTACAGTGAATAGTAACAGTAGATTGAGCTTTTAATGAGATATTCTGTGCCAAAAACTGTATTAACTGTGGTATTACTGTATATTGCCAGACAATCATTCTTAAATGCTCAGCTTGATTAGTCCAGGAAGTTTTTGAATTTTGTGACCTAAAAAGCATCACCATGTTTATATGAATTTTCCATGTGCCGTAGAATCTGAATCGAGTCTCAGTTTGAAGACTGTATTACAAAGTTCTAGGAGAAATTAGCATGGAAGGCCAAGTAAAGCCAGAAAAGGTTTATTTTGCTGGCCTCTATAAGGTCTGATACCATCTTCCTGTCAGCAATCCTGAGGTCATTATCTTTCATCACAACATTTAGCAGGACAACAACTTGACATGATCAGCTGATAAGGATAATTACAACTAAAACACACTGAATCTTTGATGTTTTATCAATGTTTTTATCCAAAACATGTTTACTCTTGCAAAATGAAAGCACAGCCTTGTTGACAAGCGAGCCGATATCCGATCAAACCTGTCTGTGTGTTTTCATTTTCTTTTCATTCTCTTAACAGACATGTTGTGTATTATGCCTCTAAACATTTGTGAGAACAATTGTGGGAAATTTCTGTGGTGAGGACTTTCTTTTGCTAAAGAGTGTATTGTGTGTTCCCTCTGCTTGGCTGGGGAAAAGCCTGCTTTATGGTGCACTGTATTGTTGTTTGGAGCAGGCATAACGTCATTGCACCTGAATGGTGGTCATCAGTAGGCAGTTGCCATGGAAACCAAGCTCCGTCACCGCAGCCATTACAAGTGAAAGTACATGGTGTAATGATTCAGCAAAAACCAAGCTTCAGCCATTACATGTATATTTGTTATTGAATAAAGTATTATGGCTCTCCCAACATTTCCTGATTTTCTCTCTTCTTTTCTGGACTATGCTTGTTATTTCACGTTGTTTGGTCACATAAATACTCTCAGTTGAATATCTTGGAAAATGTCACCATCTATGATTAATGAGGACTAATTTTTTGGATTTGTGATGTCTACCATACACACACTCACACTCACACACACACACACACACACACACACACACACACACACACACTAAAACAATACTGTTAAACTGAATTAGCTGTGACATTCAAACAGTGGTGACTGGAGAGTGTGTTAAGGCCTTAACAAGGATGAGTTATGACAAGATATATCCAGAAAAAAACAGTGAAAATTACAACCAACAATCAAACTCTTTGTAATCATATGTAGTCATCTCTATTAGGTTTCAGGGTGCTAGTTTATAGGGCCTTAAATAATTGAGTAATTATTCTCAAGTCCTGTGTCCTAGATATTTTCAAACTGAATTGAAGATAACTGATTTGTTTTTAATATGTAAAGTAGCATAAAGATGTCAAAAAGATAAACTGGCAAATCTAAATCATAGGTTACATTTAGCTAACGTGATTATGACCTTAAAGTAAACAAACCACTTCAGCAATCATTCTGGTTAATGCTAAAAGAGCATGTTGCACTGAAAGCTTGAGGACAACTGGTTATCTTAAGACATTTTTCAAATGTATGTCAGAAAAATTCCAAAAAACAGTTAATTGACATATTAACAATGATAGCAATCATTTCAAGTAAATAAGCAAGTTTCAGTTGCTGACGTGTATATGCACTGTTGGATTTCATAGCTTACGTCATGCTCACCTTACCTGTCACTTTTGGCGCTTTTCCACTGCATGGTACAGCACGGTACGGTTCACTTTTGGGGGGTTTTCCACTGGGTACAGTACCTGGTACCTGGTACTTTTTTTAGTACCACCTTGGTTGAGGTTCCAAGTGAACCGTACCGTTACCAAAATGTGACGTGTAAACTCTGCTGATCACGGATTGGCTGGAGAGAATCGTCACTACCTCCGTCACTGAACTTGCGACGCAAACACAACAGAACCGTTAGATTTAAATCAGCACAGCCAGCGAAGGATTGAACGCAACTGTTTTGAATGAGCGCACCTTATTTTAACAACCAGAAAGTGGCTGTTTCGAGGAAGTACAGACGTTCCTCTTGTTGATAGCAGAGGAGCGGATCCAGCGAGCTTGATAGGGCGACGCGGAATGAAAAGGTTTTTCAGGAGTCGCGGCAGTAGAGGCGGTGCAACTATAACAACATGTGAATAATCCCACCCACTCTAAAGCGATACTAAACTGCAGTGGAAATGCAAACCGAGCCGAGCCGAGCCGTACCACGCAGTGGAAAAGCGCCATTTGAGAGTTGTGGGTGTAGGATACCTTGAAGTACTTTGGGTGCGAGACTGTCAAAGAGACTTTCACAGTGCGTGTTGGTCTGTTGGTGGTGTATTATAAGTATATTTGAATCATAGGTATCATCAAATGAGAGCATTAAGATGAGTGATAAACAACATCAGATTTATAACCAATTGTCTAAGATGTATTTTTACCTGAAACTACAATGTGCATGATGTAACTCATTATTTATTCTTCTTTCTTTTTCTTTCCCACTTTTATAGATCATCTTCTGGAAAGGTTAGTCCAGAAAGTGTCCGCTCCATAGGACCTCCTTCAGAGTCCTCCGAGGATGGTTTACGAGCTAAGAAGTTTCCTCAAAGTCCTGCCAAGGAGAAGGAGCTGTCTTTATACAAGAAGACCAAGAGAGCAATAATTAGCAAGAAATATAGCGTCTCTAAGCACGAGGCGGAGGCTACTACGCCAATTGAATTGATCAGTCGTGGCCCAGATGGGCGCTTTGTCATGGAACCTACGGATGCGGAAACTCCAGTTAAGGCACGGCGCATCGAGGGCTTCCCCTTCGTGGAGGAGTCTGACCTTTACCCTGAATTTCGACAGTCAGATGAGGAGAATGATGATCCAGGGCCCATGCCGCCTATGATGGCAACCCTCAGACCCCATCAGATCTCGCCCATTTCTTCTAGCCAGGAGTCTTACTTGCAGCCACCGGCCTACAGTCCCCGCTTCCAGAGGCCCATGAAAGGCATGACTATCATGGAAACCAGTCGACTCCAGGCTACAGGACAGATTCGTGGTGCTCCTCACTTCCGAGCCTTTTCCCATGGCCAGTTCTACAGCTACTTGGGAAGTCCAGGGGAACCTGAGCCTCCGCCTCCCTTCTACATGCCAGACACCAGCCCTCTAAGCTCAGTAATGTCTTCTCCTCCTTACCACCTGGAGGGCCCTTTCGGTCATCCCACCATCCCAGAGGAAATCGGTGAGGGAGAGATTCAGCATTATGCAGTCTCTGGCTACAACCTTCCCTTGGCGCACCCCTCCACCTCGCGCTCTCCAGACATCTGGCAGAGACCCGATTTTACCTTTGCCACAATCGAGGGTCCTCACTTTATTTTTCCACCCCCACACCCTTTGCATCTTCACCCGGAACCTCCCCTTCCTCCCCCTCTTGTTCTTCCTCCTAGTGCCCTCCAGCCCTCCACCCTTCAAGTATCTCCATACCCTGGTATCCTGCAGCTGGAGGCCCCAAAGAGCCGCCCAGGCAAGTCTCCCAGCAAGGTCAAGCCTCAGGGCCTTCCAGCCAAGCGTTTACCTATGCAAGAGGCACAGAGTCTAGGGCAGCTAAGACGCACAAGCCACGGTATGGGTGTACCGGTATTGCCTTACTCTGACCCGGTGTCTCACATGGTTGGCCCAAGCTCGTTCGGAAGCCTGGATATGCGATGGTACGAGCTTACACCCAGGCTTAGCCCAAGGCAGCCCCGCAGGATGGAACCCAGCATGGTAGTTCTCCAGCCATCCCGCCTCTCACCTCTAACTCAGAGCCCTATTAGCTCTCACGAAGGCTCACCGGAGATTGTAGTGCGCCCCAGGCCCCGCCCCAGTATCATCCAACCCCCGATCCCTCCTGAGATGTCTGAGATCACCCTTCAACCTCCTTCTTCAGCTAGTTTCTCTAGAAGGTCCTCCCCCTCCTCCTCTCCTGCTCAAGGCCAAGGCAGCCGAAGGGCAAGTCCCAGCTACCGATCCCACATGGCATTTGCCACCTCAGCAGCAAGCTATCCGTCACAGTCCCCTTCACCTCCTGTAGAAAGCAGCAACATTTTCGGGCAGATGCCAACCCAGAGGAGGACTGAGGAGGAGATCCTTCCATCAGAACCCTCTCCACCCCAGTTATCAGCTTCAGGGTAGGTGCACTAGGCCTGTAGAGTGTGGATTGATCAACCATGTACCATCTGGCCTAAGTGTAACATCTATAGGTCTTCTCAGTGCAGAAATAACCACACTTTTGATTTTAGTCTAAAGCTACAGTTTGCTCTCATGGGCAAAACTATGTAAAACTATGCTTGCCTTAAGCTGGTTTTAGTAATGTTAGAACTCATGCTTCCATAGATACACTGCCCCAGATGCCTTGCATTATTCAAAACCATTCAAAGCCATTTTCTACATAGACAAGTTGTGCTATAATTTTCTATGTCACTGATTCTGCTTTTCATGTCAGACATCCAATTTCATTCATAAGGTCTGTGAAGCACTTTAAAGCACTTGTCTTAGATCAAAAGCAAGCGACTTTAACCAAATGTGGTTGTGGGGTAACAGATTCCAAGTCAAGATGAATTATTTGCTTCACAGACGTGGTGACAGACCTTTTAGGGCTACGTGTCTGGAGAAGTTCCATTTTAAGTTGATTAAAATGCAATAACGAAGCCCCTAAAAAGCCTGGAATCAGAGGTACACCACCACAGGATCTCAGCCTTTCCATCCACTGTCATGCTTTACCCTGCCTTTCACCCAACAGGAGGAACCCCACATGTGCAATAAAATTGACCAATCCAAGTCCAAATGAAGCCCACCGTTTTGACTAACTCCAGGCTTTTTAGGACGACTCTCAGAGTGTATGATGTGGAGGCTGAGGTTGGTGTGTCCGGCACAACAGGGACAGGGCACTTCTCCTGTTCCAATGTAACCTGACCGCATGATTGCCTTTTCCACACTCCCCCCTCTCTCCTGCCTCCTGTCACCCAGGTCACCCCAGGTCTGACTGCCAGGGGGAGGCTTGTTGGGCGAATCGTGTTGCAGGGACTGTCTGCTCTCATCTGTTGCAATGTCGCCATCATCTTAAATAGGGCATTTGGTCATTCTTGACGACTCCTCGAGTCTTACCTGCTTTGTTTTTGATTGATCTCAGCTATCTGGGCAGCGTTGTTGTGACCAGGTCCTCTACACCGCAATAGGTAAGGGTTGGATCCATGTCTGAAAGGGGGGGGGCAGCAGGTGGGGCTTTTATTCACCTCGTCCTTTAAAGGGGAATACAAGTCTTTGGGTCTTGCTTTCCTTTCGTTATTACCAAGTTTACAGATTTTTTTTTTATATTTATTTTCAGAAAGCCACATACTTTAGTTCTGCAGTCTTGAATCCTATATGCATTCTGGTCTTAGTATGCATATGTACGTTTCCCAGTTATTGATTAGGAAACCCAGCACATTTCATTTAATCAACACAACCTCATGCTTGAGATGCAATAAAAATAAAATATATCAAGAACCGAGCTTTAATATTGATTTTATGAGAATCCGCCATTTAGAAAGTCCTCACGGTTTGATTCATGGTAACCTTCCTGGTAAACTTGCTGTTTATAAAATAAATGTGCTTTTAAATTAAGGTTTATATTAAATGACAACACAAACACTACTTGCAGTGGCTGGGAATTTGAACTCGACCTGGATCAAGGTGACCATTTTTTAGGGATCGTCTCAAGCAGGAGTTGCATGTTATGCTTCATTTTAGGTAGGTGCTTTTTATTACTTGAAACCAATTCAAGTGATTTAAAAAACATGAGCCTTGTACAAACACCTTGTATGATAAAATGCTAAATTTTTTGTATAATCATGAATGATCTAGTGTACACGCAGTGTATGCATAAAACTGCACTTGTTTGGACTGCAGAACACATTTCACAATCATGCGAAGCAAGTTTTCTTCCAAAACAGTTCCTGCACTTCCTTTACAACGGGGAAAGCACTGTTGGCACCAGAAAATGCTCCTTTTTAAGTTGTTGCTTTCACCCAATTAAGTGCTTTTCCAGAGTATTCCCCTTTAAAGTTCTGTTCCATGTGCAAATTGCCATGCATGCCATTGCTAAATATTGCTCCAGTTGAAAAAACAACACATATCTGATTAAATTCTTGTTACATTTGTTGTCCAAGTGCTTTGTTTTATTTTTCATTATGTGACTGTTCCCAAGTAGCCATTTTCCCCTCCCGCCATCTCTCCCCCTGTCAGCATGGTGAAGCCCATTGTAGACAGTATTCATGTCTATGAGCACATTTCTGACAATGCTTTGTCGCTGAGCTGTGATTTTCCCCCTCTACTAATGGCCTTTAATTTCTCTCGGCAGCCTCAGCAGAAGGACGGCCCCTCTATAATGCTATTTCTGTTATTTTATTGTGCCTCATGAGAGCTGTGTGTGTGTGTGTGTGAGCGTGTGAGTGTGTGGGGCAGAGTATGCGGGCTGCCGGTTTAAGTGCCTCCATACTGTATTTGGATGGGAAGACTGTACATACAAACTTAAATGTCTGAGAATGGATTGATAAAGTATTATATATATAAATGCTTTCATAAGTAACATTTTAAAGTACTTTACCTTTACAGTTTTATTCTAATATGTATTTAAGTATGCTCATCCATTGTAATCACCCCAATCTATGTCATGATTTCTCAAAATTTCTCTTTAAACAGATACATAATGTTGCCATATTGGGGTATTGTATACATTTTAAAACAAAAATCTTATTTTTCTGTTTAAATGTTGATTTGATCTCTAATTATTGAAAAACCTGCAGTTATAAATGTAATTTTCAGAGGGAAATTTCTGAAAAACTTTAAGTATACCTCTCTTTCCACTCAAATAAATGTTTTGCATCATACTTATCATGCTAAACTGGACCATGCCTGGTTCAGATCATTTGAGTGTAAGAGATTCATGGGTAATCTGAGTTGCCTGTGTTAGCAACAGTAACTCAAGCAAAGACCATGTGATCACTACTATGACCAGTTTAACACGCATGGCGAGCCACCGCACTACCCTTCCCCTGTGTGATGGCTTTGCTTCTCTTTGCTTCCTGCACAGAAAACGTCGAGGTGCAACAAGTGGCTCTGCAGGGTCTGAGAGGATAGAAGCACTGAGATATCAACGAGTGAAAAAAGCCAAGAAAGTCGGTGTCAACAATAACAACTCCAAGACCAGACGAAAGATGGGTGAGGAGCAAGTCACAAGCTACTGTAGTTCATATACTATACACCTGTTGTACAAAATATTAAGGTACATTTTTTCATAAACATACTGTAAGCTCTGTTCCAAAACCTAGTGAGTTGTTTTGTTGTATACTACCTTCTGTGAAAGCATGCTAACTGAAATGGAATATCGTGAGTGACTGATTTGGGTCGCTTTGGAGCAGCCTTCATGTCGGTAGCATATCTGTGATGCCTTAAAATGCTGTCTATGGAGACATCACTTAGTTTTGATACAGAGCGATAATGTGCATTTTTGTTAAGTCAACATATTTATTATGTGTGAGCATCATGTACTAAGCGAAAAAGTACATTGTCCTCACGAGTTGTTTAAAATATTCAGAGTCAGTTATGCATTTTATGTTTGTAGGGCACTGAGATGTGAGAAGGTGGTGTTGAGAGAGACTCTTCATAACAGTGGTTCTCCACATTGAAGTGCTCTCTGTGCTTCCTTTAACACTATAAATCCCTTTCCTAGAATACACAGTAGCCCCTCACTGCAGAACAAAGATCCAGGTGGCGGGGTTGGATCCACATCAAGGGGGTGGAGATGGTAGGTTTAGGGATCAGGGGGTGGAGACGGGTAGGTTTAGGTATATGTAAGGTGGGAGGAGTTGGATCTGGATCCAACTTCGCCCCCTGGATCTTGTGTTCTGCAGTGAGGACCATCTCAGAATACAGGTGGTTATTGGCACTGTACTGATGACGATCTGTGCTGTATACTGCTTTTTAACAAAATTATCCACTTTTATTTACATTTATCCTGACTCATGATAGTGTATGCCATACTCTATGCTCACATTCTAACATTTCATTATCACTTAGTTTGTAGTGTGCAAGAAAGAGAGTTTATACTTGACAAAAAGTGGTTATTTTTTAAATGATCTAAGAATTTAAATAAAGGTTTATTTATTTATTTATTAATGCAGTGGTTTTCTACTGGTTCAGGACCCAGATTTTACATTGTTATCAAGTACCAGCCCTTAACACAGTAGTAAAATTGTTTCGCTTAAAAAAAAAAGTATAATATAAAATTTATTTCATATTCCTGGCATGCAACAAATGTTTATTGTAAGATAATGTAATGTGATAATGTAAGATGTATTTTCTTAAACCTTTTAATAATTTTGTTCATAGTTAAGGTTAGTTACACAACCTTTTACCAAGTGACAGATGAATTTGAAACAATATATATATATATATATATATATATATATACAGTACCAAACAAAACACACCTTCAGAGTGCACGCATAAGCGACTACACTAACTTGTGTGTAGTGCGTTTCACTGCATGATTCAGTCTATTAATATGCATTACAAATTATCAAAATGTGATATTGATTTTATACAACAGTTCAATAAACTATAAGTTAATATCAAGAGACTTACATTTTAGACACCATATTGGCTATTTTTATGCTATTTCACTGACAAAAATCATTCCAAACACAGCCACTGTACTGTTTTGTGTCTCTGAGCAACATGACGGCATTTCGTTCCTGAATGAATCAACCATTTAAATGATTCGGTTCAATCGAAATGACTCCCTTAACAGTGGCTTGCTGCCACCTACTGGTGGTTTTAATTGTTTTAATTTTACATTTTTAAAGTATCTTTTCATTTTTTAAATAATTTCAAATTATTAACAATTTCATGTTTAAAATATCAAAACATTATTTATGCATTTGTAACTGCAGGTTAAAGCATTCCATGTCCCTCTAAGCTGCATTAACATGTGTAAATACATCTAAATGCCACTTCATATGCAACTTCTGCAAAGATAAATTTTGTTGAAACTGATTTAATTTGTTTAGTAACAGCCTAAATGTATTATTATTATAATTGACTGATTAAATGTAAGAATTTGCACAGTTTTAGAAAAAAATGGCTTTATAAAGGTAAAAATGCCCATAAAAGGTAAAAATCAATTTAAACAGGAAAAGATTCATTTCTATCACTGCTGTGAACTGACAACACAGAATATGAAATATATAAAAAAACTTTAGGAGTCAGCTGTCCCCGGTAGTCCTTAAGATATCAGCACAAAATATAGTCTAAATATAGTCAAAATATAGTCTAATTATATTTTGTCTATTATATAGTATAATTTGGGTTTTTGTTAAATGTGAGCCAAAATCATCACAATTAAAAGAACCAAAGACTTAAACTACTTCAGTCTGTGTGCATTGAATTTATTTAATACACGAGTTTCA